GGACGCGGAGAAGGGGGGGACCCGGGGGGACATGAGGACACGGGGGCCACCAAGAAGATGGGGACATGGGGGGACATGAGGACATGGGGGACACCAAGAAGATGGGGACATGGGGGACACGGAGAAGGTGGGGACACAGGGGGACATGAGGACACGGGGGACACCAAGAAGATGGGGACATGGGGGGACATGAGGACATGGGGGACACCAAGAAGATGGGGATGGGGGGGACATGGAGAAGGTGGGGACACGGGGGGACATGAGGACATGGGGGACACCAAGAAGATGGGGACATGGGGGACACCAAGAAGATAGCCACGTCACCACCACGTCATTCTTCCCGCAGCCACCCCCTGGTCACGCCACGATGGTGATGGTGGCCCCCTTGGCCTGGCCACCCCATGGCCAACCCAAGACCACATCATGGCTCCTGTAGCCACGTGGTGGCCACGCCGTGGTGGTGGCATGTCCCCCATGGTGTGGCCACCCCATAGCCACGTCACCACCACGTCATTCTTCCCATAGCCACCCCCTGGCCACCCCATTCTGATGGGGGCCCCATTGGCCTGGCCACCCCATGGCCAACCCAAGACCACCTCACGGCTTCCGTAGCCACGTGGTGGCCCCAGCACTCACCCGGAGGTCGGTGATGCGGGCGAAGACCAGGTTGGTGAGGGCCTCGGTGAGGGCCAATCGGGCGCCGGCGGCCGGGTCCAAGAGGCCCTTGATGGGCTGCTCGCCCAGGGCGGTGGCCGCCCCCACCGTGTCGAAGTGGGACAGGGCCACCACGGCCACGTCGGCGAGCGGTGTGTGCAGGGGCCCCACGCACTGCTGCTGGGCCACCAGCCCCGTCACCGAGCGGTCCACCTGCCCCAGGGGACAACCGACTTAGAAGGGTGGGTGGTCACGGGGCCAGGGTTGGGACATGGAAGGGATGGTGGCCACCAAGTGGGTTGGGGACACAGAGGGGCTGTGGCCACCAGTAGGGTGGGGAATGCCCCAGGGGACAACCGACTTAGAAGGGTGGGTGGTCACGGGGCCAGGGTTGGGACATGGAAGGGATGGTGGCCACCAAGTGGGTTGGGGACATGGAAGGGGATTGGTGGCCACCAAGAGGGTTGGGGACACATTGGGGACACAGAGGGGCTGTGGCCACCAGTAGGGTGGGGAAGTGGAGGGGATTGGTGGCCACCAAGTGGGTTGGGGACACAGAGAGGCTGTGGCCACCAAGTGGGTTGGGGACATGGAAGGGGATTGGTGGCCACCAAGTGGGTTGGGGACATGAAGGGGATTGGTGGCCACCAAGTGGACTGGGGACACGGAGGAGATTGGTGGCCACCAAGTGGGTTGGGAACATGGAGGAGATTGGTGGCCACCAGTAGGTTGGGGACATGGAGGGGATTGGTGGCCACCAAGTGGGTTGGGAACAGGGAGGAGATTGGTGGCCACCAAGTGGGTTGGGACATGTGGGGACTGTGGCCACCAAGTGGGTTGGGGACATGGAGGGGATTGGTGGCCACAGGGCTGGGGTTGGGACATGTGGGACTGTGGCCACCAAGTAGGGTGGGGACGCAGACGAGATTGGTGGCCACCAGTAGGTTGGGGACACGGAAGGGTTGGTGGCCACCAAGTGGGTTGGGACATGTGGGACTGTGGCCACCAAGTGGGTTGTGGACATGAAGGGGATTGGTGGCCACCAGTAGGTTGGGGACACAGAGGAGATTGGTGGCCACCAAGTGGGTTGGGGCCATTGAGGGGATTGGTGGCCACCAAGTGGGGTGGGGACATGGAGGGGATTGGTGGCCACCAAGTGGGCTGGGGACATGGTGGGGTTTGGTGGCCACCAAGAGGGTTGGGGACACGGAGGGACACGGGGGGACACGGGGGGGCACGGGGGGACAGGAGGTACCTTGTTGGTGAGGTAGAGCTT